TGCTATGAACACAGTTGAGCCCATGTCCTTGTGGCACAATTGAGCATCCTTTGGATATATATCCAAAAGTGGTATTACTGGGTCTTGAGGAAGGCTGTTTTCTAATATTCTGAGAAATCACCACACTGAAATACAAAGGGTTTTTACCAGCTTGCAATCCCATCAGCAATGCAGGAGTGTTCCCTTTCTCCCCACAACCTCTCCAGCATAAGTTGTAATCAGAGTGTTTGATCTTGGCCATTCTTACAGGTGTAAGATGGAATCTCAGAGTTATTTTGATTTGAATTTCTCTGATGACTAGGGCTGTTGAACATTTCCTTAAGTGTCTTTCAGCCATTTTAGATTTCTCTGTTAAGAGTTCTCTATTTAGGTCTATACTCCCTTTTTTATTAGATTATTTGTTTTTTTGATGACAAATTTCTTGAGTTGTTTGTATATTTTGGAAATCAGACCTCTGTCTAATGTGGGGTTGTTGAAGATCTTTTCTCATTTTGTAGGCTGTTGTTTTGTCTTCTTGACTATGTCCCTTGCTTTACAGAAGCTTTTCAGTTTCAGGAGGTCCCATTCCTTAATTGTTTCTCTCAGTGTCTGTGCTGCTGTGGTCATATTTAGGAAGTAGTCTCCTGTGTCAATGTATTCAAGTGTACTTCCCACTTTTTCTTCTATAAATTTCAGTGTGGCTGGCTTTAGGCTGAGGTGTTTGATCAATTTGGACTTGAGTTTTGTGTATTGGGAAAGATGCGGGTCTATTTTCATTCTTCTACATGTTGATATCCAGTTATGCCAGCACTGGATATCATATGCTTTCTTTTTTCCATTTGATATTTTTTGCTTCTTTGTCAAAAATCTGGTTTCAAAGGTGGTGTTTGGATTAATATCTGGGTCTTCTGTTTGGTTCCATTGGTCCTCCTGTCTGTTCTTATGCCAATACCTGGCATCAAGCTCTATTATTGAATTACAGTAATAAAAGCAGTTTTGTATTGGTATAAAAACAGACAGGTAGACAAATGAAATTGAATCAAAGATGTGGTTATTAAGCCACACACCTATGAACACCTGATTTTTGATAAAGAAGTAAAAATTATATACTGGAAAAATAAAGCATCTTTAACAAATGGTGCTGGCATAACTGGATGTCAGTATGTAGAAGAATGCAAATAGATCCATATCAATCCCCATGCACAAAACTCAAGTCCAAATAGGTCAAAGACCTCAATATAAATCCAGTCACACTGAACCTCATAGAAGAAAAAGTGGGAAGTAGCCTTCAACACATGGGCAAAGGAGACCACTTCCTAAATATAATAGCAGTAGCACAGACACTGACAGCAACAATAAAAAGTGGGACCTTCAGAAACTGAAACTGTTGACGTAAGTCACAAAACAATCACACTCAAGTTTGAAATTATGATTAATAAAAGGGTTATTTATTTAAGGGGAAAACTTACAGATCACTGTAATAAACAAAAGCCCTCTGCATGACCAGGAACAGAGTCTAGTAGCTGGAAGCTGAGCCAGAAGCAAGAGAATGAGAGCAGGACTTCCTCTGCTTTTTAAAGCAAAAAAGACCATGCTCAAGTGGGCTGGTATCTTAAAGGCTATTGGCTGAAGGAGTGGAAGGAGCTCCTGCAGCAACTCCCCCCTTTTGTTTAAATAAGAGAGTTCCAAACCCAATACAAAACAATATACACTAGGAACAGATATCAAGTATAAGATTAGAATAAACAATCAACATAAACAATATTAAGCAAGGAACATATGCTAAATATTTAAATAAACATTTTATCCTAAGGAGTCTAAGTCTTGTATTGGAAATGGCTTGGCTAGATCATAAAAGGACAGTAACTATGACTCTCTAATCTTCAACTCCATCGAAGTCCTGAGAAGGGAGATAATATTACTTGAGCAGGCAGGAAGTACAATCAAGCAGCTTCCAAAGTGAGCAATATATGACAGAGAAAACTAGCTGCCTAAGCAATCATCCAAAATCTCATTTTGCAATGTTGAAGCAACCAACTTTGGCTATGGCCTAATATAATTGACAGACTATTTTCAGAGGCAGGAAAATTTTCAACAGCTGAAAAATACCTTCAGTAATATAGCAGGATACAAGATTAACTAAAAAAATCAGAAACCCCCTTATATACAAATGATAAACAGACAGAAAAGAATTCAGAGAACATCATCATTTACAATAGCCACAAATAATATGAAATATTATGGAGCACCTATAACAAAACTAGTGAAAGACCAAAATGACAAGAACATAAAGTCTATGAAAAAAAGGAAATATAAGGAGATATCAGAAAGTAGAAATATCTCCCATGTTCTTGTATAGGCAGGATTAAAATAATAAAAATGACAACCTTACCAAAAGCAATCTACAGGCTCAATGATATCCCAATCAAAATCTCAAAATACAGGCCTCAAAAGAACAATATGGAAAATTAAAAACACAGGATAGTTAAAGTAATCGTATACTTTAAAGGAACTTCCAGAGACATCACCATCCCTGACATCAAGCTCTACTACAGAGCCATAGTCACAAAAAAAGCCTGGTCTTGTCATAAAAACAGACACGTGGCTCAATGGAAACAAATTGAAGATCCTGAAATGAAACCACACACCTACGAACACCTAATTATTGACAAAGAAGCTAAAACTATACAATGAGAAAAAAGAAAGCATCTTCAACAATGGTGCTGACATAACTGGATGTCATCATGTAGAACACTGCAAATATATCCTTGTCTGTCATCATGTACAAAACTCAAGTCAAGGTGATCAAAGACCTCAACATAAATCCAGGTACACTGAACCTGATAGAACAGGAAGTAATGTTAGCCTTGAATGCATTGGCACAGGAGATCACTTCCTAAATGAAATAGCAGCAGCATAGACACTAAGAGCAACAATCAATGAATGGGACCTCCTGAAATTTAAAGACTTCTATAAGGCAAAGGACACCATAAATAAGACAAAATGACAGTCCACAAATGGGAAAAAAATCTTCACCAACCCCACATCTGACAGAGGGCAGATCTCCAAAGTATATAAAGAAATCAAGAAACTAGACATTAAAATACAAAATAATCTAATTAAAAATGGGGCACAGATCTAAAGAGAGAATTGTCAACACAAAGGTCTCAAAAGGCCGAAAGACATTTAAGGAAAGGCTCAACATCCTTAATCATCTGGAAAAGGCAAATTAAAATGACTCTGAGCTACCTATGTTAAACCAGAATGATAGGAACGGCTAAGATCAAAAACCACATCACACTTCTCTCACTTGGGCTGCTTCCACTCCCCATTAGCAGCTTTCCTCAGCAGTATCACATGGCTCTGGCATCTCCAACAGCCTGGGGTCTCTAAGGAAATCCAGGTTTGACTTTCACGGCTTCATAAAATGGCCTCTCTAGTGACACCTGTGCCTGGCCTCAGCAGCTTTCCTCAGTCACAGAGGGAGATTCCATGACCTCTTTCTTCTCACCTTCATCTAAAGCCAGAACAAGGTGACCAAAGCTGCCAAATTCTGCTGCCTTCTGGGGCTGTGATATGGCCCCTCATATAATGACATCTTCACCAGTTCTCTGTTTTCTATGGTTTCCTTCACTGCCAAAGCTCAGCTTTCTTGGAACTAATTGACAGGAAAGAGAAACTCTATTGAGAATATACCATATGAATAAAACAAGTAGTTTTTTTTATTATCAATAAAAGAAAAAACTAAGTGGAGTCTGGTGTTGCACGCTTGTAATCCTGAGCTGGAGAGCCAGATACAGTAAAATCCCTGGGATATCATCTTGTCCTATTTGGCAATCCAAGGGTCACCGGAGACACTATCAAAACCAAGGTGAGTAGCTTCCATGGAGAACAATGAGGGCTGATGAGAAGTCAAGGACAATGGCACGGGGCTTTGATCCTACTTCATGTTCTGGATTTGTGGGAGCCTAGCCAGTTTGGATGTTCACCTTCCTAGACATGGACGGAGAGGGGAGGACCTTGGACTTTCCACAAGGCAGAAAACCCTGACTGCTCTTTGGACTGGAGAGGGAGGAGGAGATGAGTGGGGGGAGGGGGAGAAGGGTGGGAGGAGGGGGAGGGAAATGGGAGGCTGGGAGGAGGGGGAATTTTTTTCCTTTTCTCAAAAAAAATAATATATATATATACATATATATATGTATATATATATATATATATATATAAAGAAAAACAGCAAACATTGTCTCCTTGCCTCAGCGTACACATGCACATACATCCTTCATCTCTGAACACACACATGAATACACATGTACACAAAAACACACTGTACATCATATATAAACAATTTTGTTTTACTAATAATATGTCAGTATTGATGAATTACAAATACACAGACACATGGAATTTTCATACAAGATACATGAAGTAACTGTGGTAAAAAGGGAAAATTTAAATTCACAGGATTTTTGTGGATTCAGAGAAACTAGACTTAGGAAAGAGTATTAAAGTTGCAATAGGACATCTAAACTAGTTTTGGTGGCTGAGAGTATATTAAATTCCCCTCAAAAGAAAAATGTAAAATGTCAGCACCAGCAAGCAACTTTCTTTAAGTAACCTGAGCATCAGGGAACATTATGATATAAAGTAAAGAGGAGAGACTAAGAGAACTCCTGTGGAAATTACAACTTATTGTATACAGTGAAGTTAAAAAAAATCAGTAGCACTCGGCAGCAAAAATGTCACAAGAATTTCCATGTGTAATACCACAACTTTCGTTAAATTATTAAGAATCTTGATTTGCTACTTGAACTATTACAGAGTTTAAGAAGAATAAGTTTTTGGAAAAAATTAGTTGTGTCTGCACCAGAATGAAGCCTCACAAACATTTGTCTGTATTTAGCTCACGGGCTCAGGGACAATGGCCTCTTCTGACCTTGTGGGCATCAGGAATTCACACACATATATATGCTGGCACAATACTCATAAATATAAAAAGAATAAATAAATCATTTTATTAAATATGAGAAAAAATATCTCTTTTTGAAAATATGGTGGCACAAAGACTGCATGTGTTTCAGCATATTGATTATTCTGTTATCAGAACTGATTTGTACCAAAGGAGTAATTGTGGGATAGACATTCATCACAAACTTCTGAACACTCAGGCTGACTGGGTCGTATATCCATAACTGGATTGCAGCAAATGAGATGATGAAGTCTACCCAGAACATGATCACAAAGCAAACCACCAGCAGCAAGATGGTCTGGGTGGCCTTTTTCTCAGGGGATACTCTCATGTGGCTGAGGTTGTGAAGATACTTGTGTTGCCTTTGATGTCTGAACAAGATAATCACCATGTATACACTAGTGGCTAGCATAACTCCTACAAGAAATACATCTCTGGAGATTGTCACTGTTAAAGTCAGTACCCTGATGATGTAGTTCATGGGAAGGAGTGAGCAGAATTTTGTAACCTTCATCTGTTTGTTCACACTCACATTGGTAAAAGCAACAGAATAGATTATTTGGTGACGAGTGAACAACAAGTTGAAAGACCAAACAAATAAGAACGCAGAAATCATGTACTTTTTTAGTTTATATTTAAATTTTGCCAAGAAAGAGGTACTGGGACTGATAGTGACAGCCTGGAACACACTCAAGAGGCAGGTAATGCAGATGGAGAGGCCTCTCATCACTCTGCTTATGTAAAAATTTTTCTTACATTTGAAGTCATTGTCAATATTTAGTGCATCACGTATGTCCCAAAGCCAAACATCCACTCCAGTGAGGAGCAGCACTATGTGAATGAAGCTCAGTTGACAGGATATCATGTCTATGGGCTTAGGTCTGTGGCCTAGAATTATGAAAGTATAGAAAACAAGGAGAAACATATTGGACAGGACTCCAAGTCCAGCTTGGAAATAAAGTACAATTCTAAATGAGGACATATGTAGAAATCATATTCACCTTAAGAACAGAAATTTTCAAAAAGGATATTTAAGCCCTGGCAATTCTGAAGCATGCATCAGCAGCCCATATGTGGTGGTTCTGTTAACTTTGTCCTTATTGGATTTCATGGTCTAAGTTGATGGGGACGACTGACCAAGTATCTTCCTCAAGAAGAATCCAGGTCACAATACAGATAATTGTGGAGACCTATTTCAAATATCTGAAAAAAATAATGAGTATTTACCACACTTTTGTTTCACTGGTCAGTATGTCTATATCATCATTCTGTTTTGCCTATTTATTCTTGATTAACCCATCTCTTTAATTTTTGAAGTTCCACATTAGACATGGCCTAAGTTTCTAAATAGCCTCAATATTTATCCTGGACATACAACATATTGAGCATGATAAATGTACTCTTAGCTATATCCTACACAGAATGCACACTCTATATGCCTGTATTACACCTAGACCCCATGCCTTAGAAATTAAATCCTCCTGATTTGACTTACATTGCCTCATTTTATAGTTAACACTGAAAACAGCAGTGATGAGAATAGAGGTGCATAATCACATTTGTACAACTGATTAAAAATTATATTGCTCTGAGGAAAATCACAAAAAAAATCCAAAAGAGTAATGTGAGTCAGTTTTATATTCCATAATTTTAATAATCTCAAATTTAAACTATCCATATTTTCATTCATAATTCTGATGGAATCAGAGTTGATAATTCATGTTAATCCCACTATTTTAATCAGTTGAATGTTCATCTCTGTTCATTTATTTATTTTTATTTTTCAATGAACTCATCACACCAGAACCTGGAATTAAAGACAATGATATCATTTGGATATCATTAGTGCACTTTCCACACCCTATTAATTGTGTAACAATTATTGTTATAAATGCTCCTAGATGTCTCCCAGTTTACTTCCCATCCATTTAAAACTTGTGTGAACTCTACTTATGGTTTAAAGAACAAACACCTAGCTATCAAGATAAAAGGGTTTTTTTTTATTTTTTTTTCACAGCAGGACAGTGGTGGGGATTAAATCATTAATAGTATGATTCCTATGGGTTTTTAATCCATTCCTTGTTACTTTACCTACCTATTCCATCTTCTGTATTTACATCCTTTTTTTAACTAAGAAACATCATTTTCCCATTTTATCAGATCAATGGTCTCCTGCTACTCCCCTGTACCTTCCTCCCACTTCCTTCTATATGAACTTCCCTCCTCCCTGATAAGGAGCCCACTCTTTCACATTTCCCTGATAAGATCACTTGTACCCTGTTTTTCTTCTCTTTGTTGCTACCCACGATCAACCCCCATTTGGCCAAAGCCCCATTTTCCTTTCCTGATATCTGTAGTTTACACAGGTAAATACTCTCAACTGAAGATGTGGAGCCAGGAGACCCCTACAAGAGAGAGCATGTGACACTAAGACAGATACTGCTTTCAACACATTGTGACAAACATGAACTTGCCAAAGATGACCACATAGTGATCCTGTTTTAGAATCTCTGTTTTAAAAGAGATTCCTTCCCATGCAGTGGAAATAAGGGTGCCAGTGTTATCATATCTCACCAACACACAGACAGTTTTTATAATTTCAACAAATAGTCTTAGCTTTGGTTCGTGTATTACTTATTTAACCTGGTTACCTTTATGATTTTTATCAAATTAGCATAATTTGTTACTTTAAAATCAACTCTGTAATAGAGAACTAGATAACTATAAAACTAAAATTCTTGTGAGAGGGGCCAATTGTAGTTTGAAGTTCACTCATATATTCCACATATATGTGCATTCATGTATATATAGAAATAATTCAAAAGTAAATAAATGAGACCACACCATAACATCCCCATGAATATGCCAACAAAATTCATACATTTTACATATATACATTTTGTTTGCTCTTAAAAATCTTTATCTAATGCCGCGCAGTGGTTGCACATGCCTTTAATCCCAGCACTTGGGAGACAGAGGCAGGCGGATCCCTGTGAGTTTGTTCTATAAGAGGTAGTTCCAGGACAGGTTCTAAAACTACAGAGAAACCCTGTCTTGAAAAACAAACAAACAAACAAAAAACAGAAAAAAGAGCAAAAAAAAAAAGCTTTATCTAGTAAAGTCACAGAATCAGTCTAATTGCCAGAGTCAAACTAGAGTTACAGATGGTTATGAGCCACCATGTCATTGCTGGGAATGTAGCCCAGGTTATTTGCAAGAGAAAAACATGTTTGAACCACTGTGCCATCTTTCCAACTTGTGTCCTAGAACTTAAAAAAAAAAAAAAAAAGAACACGACTGTGCAGCTACTATAACTGTATGTTGGTGGGAGAATCATATGCTTGACTCTGTTCTGTGTGCGTGCGTGTGTGTGTGTGTATGTGTGTGTGTGTGTGTGTGTGTGTGTGTGTGTGTGTGTGTGTGAAATGACTACCTGGAGTAAGAATAGATCGATAGCATGCTGTGGGCTGGGGCTGATATCATGACTAAATAAAATAGCATTGAGTAAAAACAGTTATATCAAACATATTTCTAAAGTAAAATCTCTATTTTCTGGATGACTTGATCAGCTCTACCAAGGTCCTGCCTACTGTATCAGCATCAGTGTAGATTCTTAAATTGAATTACACAAAGCAAACTGAAAATTTTGTACTGCTTGCAAAGAAATTCATGCTTCCATCATTTGGTTTTCACAGTGTGGATGCTCTGTGTCTAGTGAGTAAGTGACATTTATTGGCATCCTTTTATTCCAGTTTTAAAACAACGATTTCATAGTCCCGCATTATCAATTTAACACTATAATTTTGTTGTATTTGTGTGTAGGAGAGAGAAACAGGAGAGCAGCTCAACATGAGTACAAACTGACTTCAATCAAACTCATAGAAACACCTGTCTTAGCCTTCAAAGTGCTGGGTTCATAGGTGTGTGCCACCACACCTGACTTCACTTTCCATTTGAGTCTCCTGTATATTTATACATATATTTATAATATTAATAATTGATATTCCAGCATATAAAAATGGACTTACAACATTCATCAGCTAAACTTAAATTTACTTGGTATATTTTGAATATGCATATTTTAATGAACAATTTTATTTTGCAACTATTGAAAAACTTTGGTTATTTTGACTTTAAATAATTTGATACTAGTAATTCAAGAACTGAAAATATTTCTCACTGCTAATGAAAAGCTTATTCAATATTATTCCAGTAGCAGTGTAACAATGTTCAACTTAGAAAACTTAAAATATTAAAAATTAATTCATTTTATTAAAACAAATTACTAATGAAAATTACTCAGTTTACATTTTGTGAAGATGATATTGACATAATTTAAATAGTTTATTTTCTCTTTTAGAAAAATAAAATACAATGAGAAAGAAATAATTTAATGAATAAGTGAAGTAGGATTCTAGATGCTTTTGAGATAACCACAAAGATTTACTTCATTAAAAAATATTACAATAGGATAAACATATGTAAGAAAAATTTCAATCTAATTAATAGAATGTTAAGACCATCTTACATTTTACTAAGCCATAAAGAGAAACTCTCCTAAAAATTCCTAAGTATACACAAAATAAACAGAACAGAAAAATACTGATAAACACTAAATTAATTAATTTTGTTGCATAGTCTTGGTGAAGTTTAATATAAATAATTGTATAGGTTTGAGAAAGGTAGAAAAATGAGAAAATATAAAATACAATTTATATATACATATTTATATATATACCTTAATATTATAAATGTACTCCTGCAGATCAATGAATGCATGTTCTTTGTGTTTCACCCTCTGAGCCATTTCGGGTGTTTTGTGAGAGGGTTGGAAATTTAACACAGCTGCAGTTATTTAAGAAGAAGCATGTGTATAACATTATAAGAGTACACCCTCAGAAGAATCCATAGTCAGATATGCTCATTCAAATACTCCATGTGGGTCATTTTTTACAGAGATATGAATGTACATTTACTGTAAAAAGAGTAGATATCATTAAATTTTCAATCAATACATAATATTCATTGATTACCTTCACTCTATTAGCGTTCCCTGTCTAGGCGCTGTCCTCTTTCCAAAAGGGCACCTTCTACTATCACATACATTACAATAAGAGGTCATAGTAAGTGAAATCTATGTTCTTTTACAAATCATGACACTGATTTTTTATGTTTGCAGGCATTTGTTATGTTTTCTCTTGATAAAACAAGGCTAAAACATGACTCCTAATCATAAAACTCTCTAATTATTTTATTACAGAAAACTCTGCTTCCTTCTCCTCACTATTATAGAGAGAGAAAAAAAACGCTCACCTGCAGGACCTTTGATAAACATCCATTTGGAATGCGGCCCTAAGAAGTAGTTATAGGGAAGAAATGTCATCAGCTCATCTCTCTCTAGACCCATAATTACCATGTCACCTGGTAAAGGGAAGTTTTGATCTTAAAGTTGTTAGAAAGTGGTACCATCAAATGGAAAAGTGAACTTCTCTAATTCCAGGACAACAATAGAGAAGCAGCAGCTGAATATTTGGTTTCCCATGTGTGAACTCTTCTCCCCGGTCCCTATTGGTCTGTGTAGATTAGCTCATCCAGTCCTTCTGGACAAAACTAAAGTAAAAATGACATCACATTCAAAAGAAGTAGAAAAACATTTTGATTCCTTAAGGAATGCTTCCTGATTCCAAAATGTTTCTTAATAACCTCCATAATAACTTGGCAGTGGCTTTATGACCTCACTAAGAAATTAAAAGCACTTTGGCTAAAATTAAGAAAATGTATGTAGATATACTTGGGAAAATTAATCTTTCTTACAGGGTTCCGACATGAGGTGATGTAATCAGCAGATAGTGAGCTGTGGAGCTGGGGATGTAACTTAGTTGGTAGAGTGTATGTGTAGACATTGTTGTTAATGTGGGATACCATGGAGAAATCAAACCTTGAAATTCTATGCACAGGTGAGGGAGAAGTATCCCAAGTCAA